AACAACAACAACAACAACAACAAGAACAAGAACAACAACAACAACAAGAACAACACAAATAACAACAACAAGAACGAACAACACAAATAACAACAACAAGAACAACAAGAACAACAACAACAACAACAACAACAAGAACAACAACAAGAACGACAACAACAACAATAACAACAAGAACAAGAACAAGAACAATAACAAGAACAACAACAACAACAACAACAAGAACAATAACAATAACAAGAACAAGAACACAAGAACAATAACAAGAACAATAACAAAAGCCTTCAAATAGATTCCTTGCTGCCAAGTGAACGACTTCACGTGCTCCATCCAGCGATGAAGGTTGGGATACCTCGAGCCGTGACGGCGAGCCCGAGCCCGGACCCAATCGGTCTGGGTCGGGCCCCCGCTGGTTTCTGGGTTGGCACAGAGGGGACAAAGGGCGGATAGCTCAAAAAAGGCTCATTGCTCATATTATGACCCCCAACTGACAACGACTAGGCAATATATGCCAGTCCCATGGATTGTCTGGGATAGCTCAGCCTGTTAGCTCGCCACATGTGTCGACTGTGACAGTGAGGAGGAAAACTTCAATGTGTGACAGCGAAAGGGCTCACCGACACCTTGGGATCTCAACAGTTGATAATATATACGTGGAAAAAACCACCCGTATATCAAAACATGAAGCTTCACACTCACAGTGATCATACTTGATCACGGATTCCGAACTGGAATTTGCAGATCAATCTCACCGTTGATGCTCAATCATGTTCAACACACCCGCCGATACCCAACGTCGATCGGAAAAAGATCATATCTTAACTCGTGGCACTCAGATTGTTGAGCGATGATCAACACCACTATAGTGTACACACAAGTAACTCAACATGGCACGAAAGCGTACGGATGATCCGACTCCAAAGGCCGTTTCGATGCATGAACCCATCTTGGGAGTCCTTCATTCTCACGTGTCCAGAGCGGAGGCAGTCGCGCTAAAGGCACCGTGGCCGCATGTGGCCGTGCCTGGAGGAGTCGTTCCACTGACGCTGCTCCAGCTGCTGCAGGGTCTGCAGATCCAAGGCAGAAAGATCAAAGCCATTCACCTGAGAGCTGAGGTGATACTACTAGCTAACTGGGCAAACAGTGATGTCCAATACATGGTTGACAGAACATTACTTTAATGTTCTTCAATGTATAGTTTGTTTCCGTAAAACATAATAGTTGTCCATTAATTAACAATAATTGTATATATAGTTATATATATATATGTATGTCTATAATTGTCCATGTATATATATGCATGTATTTTGTACGTATTAGATCTTACTAGTAATATATATATATTGTATACATAGTGTATATATATATATACAGCATCTATATATAATTAATGTTTAAACACCATGTCAAAACACTGCAGTTCAAAAAACCAGCCACTTGTGACATCTTGCGAACACCTTTCACACCAGTCGCACTAGTCACACCCTCCGCCTCGGTCCATCCGTCGACCTGACCCGGAACGCGGCGTCACGGTGAGGCACGTATGGCTGGTGCAAGAGCTTCTGGTCGAGGTCCTGGCCATTGGAACTGTACCGATCTTGCGGAATTCGTTTTTGAGATCTTGGGACCGAAAGCTGATCTGAAGCCGAGTCGAGGTGCGAGTCTAGTGCCCTTCGCTGGTAAAATCCATCCGCCAGTGCCCTCCACTGGTCTACATCTCCGTCTTCATGTGTCACATGGATTTGGCACAGTGACTGTAGTCTGCCAGCGATTGAGGCTATTTGCTTCAAGATTCACATAATCGATCATAATCCCCTAAGATCTCCACACACATACATGACCAAGACATATTATATGATATCATATATTTAAAAAATAAACACCGCAGCATTTGCGGCTGAAAAGCCCTCTTCAGAGTCCCAAGGGGGACGAAAGCGCATTTCATACCTTGCTGTACCTGAGCGGATCCAGAATGCGAATGCTCCCTGGCACCGCCCATGCGGATCCAGACACATCCGGACCCAGGCACCGCCCCATGGCACCGGACAGCGCTCTCCTCCAGGAAGCCATCGGATGGCTCACATGGAACCTCTCAACCAGCTGAGCAACCGGCTTGTGTGAGACATATCGAACTTCGATGTATGATCATGAAGCTTGGGGACCTGCACGTAGATACCCATCTTCTCTATGGTTAAGCTTCGAGGATGAGGGCCCAAATCTTAGGGTGGTGTGTTGCTGGAGTGGAGTCCGGGCTGGAAGGGTGATTGGACTAGGGCATCCAGCAGTCGACCTGTGTCGGTGATCTGGGGAACGCGTCCCATGGAAGTGGATGGCACGGCCGCTGGAACATTCGGATACCCTTTGCAAACAGGTGGTGAACTCCACTTTCATGTTAGTGAGTGGGAAGGTAGATGTCCCGAATTCAACATGATCTCATCAGCCAGGTCCAACAAACCAAATACCATGAATGAACGAACAGGTCCTCTTTCTTTGGCAGAAATCCAGCGAGCAATAGCACCATGAGCGGGAAACAAAAATAAATCAGTCTTTGTGTTTTGGCTCATTTGTGCTCTGCATGCATGTTTCCTCTATCGACATGGAGATCTCCCTATGTGGTATCTTGTCACACGCATAATCGCTGTCAAACTGTCAAAACAAGATTATCATCATGTCAATCCTTCAATCAATCTCCTTCTTTGGTCTTGATAACCTTTTTTTTCCATTGCCATTGCCCCGTGTCTCTCTTTAAATGCGAAGTTTCATGTTTGTTGTTTTTAAACTCAGCTCCAACAACAGTAGAACAGCCTCCCCCCCAAAAAATACATAGTCCCAGTCCAAGTTCTTTGAAACCTATAAAACCCAAACCGCATGTCTTCCTCCCATCCCGGATTCCAAACCGCCTGTCTAGGCGCCGCCGATGGCGCTGCCACACAGCGGCTCGGGCGGACGAAGGGCATGAAGTCCAGACCTTGGAAGGTCGACCCGTTGGCATCAGAAGTCTAGACCCGTTGGCATCATGTGGTCATGTTTCGGTTTCGGGGTCCGTCGGGTCCGACACGCGGGTCGGAGTAGAAGAGAAAACGCCAGGGTCTCCCAATCATGCCATGGGACTGGAAGAGTTACGCCACCATGGATGGGGCATCCATGGGGTAAACGATGGTAAATGGCATGTGATTTATATCATATCTATATGTGTTTGTACATTGTACTGTACATGTATATAATTCGCGCAGTCCCATGTACATCAACTAGACACTTCGAAGTTCAAGTAGACTGAATCATCCAACTATACCGCCATAGAAGGAATCATAAACGAAAAAAAAACGAGACTCGAGTTCCAACCACCTTGGTTTCCAAAGTGTTTTGGCACGGGTACCAGGAGGCTCTAGGAGGCTCCAACCAACTGAGGAAGTACTTTGAGTCCATCCGTGAATACTCTTTTTGGTGAAAACAGGTCTACCATCTCCTCTATCACCATGATCCAAGCTGCTTCCTTCTGATTCCTCGCTTCTGCAACATGCCAGTTGCTGTTGGAATCCTGAAAATGACCATGGACTGAAACATAACCTTATCCAAATCTCGAATCTGCGATGGTCTGTTCATCCCTTTGATTCTAAACCCACAACAACTAAATACAAAACTGGTCCAACAATCCAAAACCTGCTCCGGTTCATAGTTCACAGCAGTGAAACGATTCCTTACCCAAGAAGAGCTCCTTGGCAACAACTTCGACTTCGTCAGCCAACGAAATGCAGGGATGATTTTAGCGTCTGGTTGTTATACCTCAAAAATCCTCAAAACATCCTTAACAAACACACACACACACACACATACTTGCCCTATGCACTTACATACCCTCTGAGAGGGTGATGTGTTCGACACATGGTCGTACCAAACCTGAGAAGGTAGCAATGGCTCCACGGGGTTGGATATGCATCATTATTGAAAGAGTAGGGCGGATGATGGTGGATGCCCAGGGCCGCGGAAGGCTCGTGTGCTTGGTTTCAACAGGGAGATGTCACAGAAACAGGTGTGAGTTTGGTGAGGGAATCAGATACACCTCCAGGCATTTCAGTCTCACTCGTTTCCACAAAAGACCTCAAAACCCTAGCAGATACTTTTCCAAGAGAAGACATTTCCAGTGCTAAAGCCTTTGTTCAATCGCCGTGAGTGCTGAAACATCCTTGGTGCTTTCCCCAGCAGAATGTTTTGTTCTATTTGAGGCACAACTTTGGCTCGAACGTATAGGTCGTGTGTGGGACTCAAAAGTTATCAGGCTATCAGCCTAGTCCAAGCCAATTTCATGTCATCTCGTGCACCAAGGATGCGGAAAAAGCACCCCAAACCACACGTCCCGTGCCCTCTCCGGGTGTGTACGTCCGCGTGCGCGTGCGCGTGCGCCTGACCGTGACCGAGGCCCAAGGGGCCCATGAAAGGTACCAAGGCATCCGGTACCCGAACACCTGAGAAAAGGCTGGACACCCAGGACTGTCCCAGGGCTGTCCCAGTGCCGTGGTCTGAAGTGGTTTGATCCTGAAACCACCAGCTGGGCAATGAATTTCATCCGCTGCACAGGGGCGACGGAAACATGTCTGCTTCTTGACTCCAAGGAAACACTCCTGTCATAAGGGGGAGTAAAAACATCAGACAAGCATGTGACACCAACCACATCATGTTATATATATATATATACATTTGGGTCTATCCCATGGTCGCAGGGATAGAAGAGTGATGGGGCCTGATTGGCCGAGATCCCATCTCTAAAATGCTTCGTGTTTACCAACTCTTAAAGGTGAATAGGACAATCCCAATTTATAATATATATAGTTCGAACATGCACAGTTTCAGCAACAGTGTATGCCATTTAAAGAGGCCCATGCCCCTGCACCCACCAACATATCTATATCTATATTCACTCATTCTTAAACAAATCCTGTGATCCATTATGGTCACTATATGGTCCTACGAACTCTCATCACACCCGGTGGCAGGTATGTGCAAGTGCAAGTGACATCCTGCTATCATATAAGGTATTCAAACTCAAACGAACCCTGATGAGTTTCAACCGATCAAAAACTGGGACCCCAAGAATCCCCGGATGGGACCCGCAGAATGCCAACCTGCAGGAGCGCAGCTTGAGAACGGACTGACACGTGGTGAAATCTCATCTTTCCAAGCGGCCAGTTGACGTTTGATAGGTCTCCTGAGTATTCGAAGGCAGCTGAGACAGCTGCCGCTTCTGTCGAAAGATCTGGCAATCACATGTAATCACACGTGTTTTATCTGTGCAACTTGGCTATATATGGGTGTGGCGACTAGGTGTGGTGGCGACGGCAAAAACAATGTAAAAGATCACAAACGATCTGAAATCATCAGAAATCTATCATAATCTGTCACTTTGGCAATCTCCACTCCACAGTCTGAACGAACCTGCAAAACCCTCAAAGCAAAAGGCACCAGTTTGACAAAAAAGGGGCGCCCGATCCAGCCAATATCAACCATCCCCAGTCCCAGCTCCAGCAAACCAACCCACCAACCCAGCAAGCTCCAGTGTTCTGTCAGTCTTCTGTCAGGATTTCCAAGGCTCCAAAAGGCAACACAAGCACCGCCCGGCAGCCACCAAGGTCGCATTCAGCAGGTGCACGAAGCGCGGCTTCTCCTTCCCAAGGTGCGTGGAATGGAGCCCAAGAAGACCCTACTGGATACAAGAGAGAGAGAGAGAGAGAGATATATATATATACCAGGACCATCCAAGACCATCCTGTTTGGGTGGCTGGAGATTCCTATATAAGTAGTAGGGTAGTCCAGCCAGGACACCCAAACAGGATGGTCCTGGTACGTACTTCCTGAGAATCACCCTGGAGTTCAACAGCTTCTGACTCATCTAGGCAGAACATGAAAAGGTCGGCACAAATGACCAGATTCTGAGAAGTTCTGAGTTTTGCCCCAAGCCTCAGGTATAATTGGCAGCTTAGTGGTCCCCAAACACCTAAGATCTTCTCTCTCTCTCTCTCTGCGCTTGAATCTTTAGTGAATTACTTGTATGGAAGGTTCCAAACGTTCCAAACATTCCAAACAAACAAGTTGGAGAGTGTAAAGTTTCCTGTCATTCGGTCTCGTCATTCAAAAGCAACTCAAAGCAACGACCTTGATATGGGGTATCTCTCGACATATATCCACAGAAAATCACATGAAATCACCCTTCTGGACATACCTCCCGTCCCTCTCATACACTGGTTGGTTGCTGTCGTTTCCTGATGCCAACCGTCTGAAGTCACTCTCCTAGCCTTCCAAAGCCCGAATCCCGGAGCGCCTTTGCACGCTCAGACCGGGTACGGATGTCCAATGCCCGAGATTGAAAGTCGGTGCAGTTGGAGCAAGACACCAACTCACGGTAGACGCCCTGGCCAGGTTGGGAAAGCTCGTGCTGCCATGTTCGTTCCTTAGAAAGGCAAAACCTACGTACCTGGGATTCCAACTTGGAAGCGCTGAAAAACACCAACAACCAAATGTTGTGCCACAAGATGCCACGAGGTTATATCCCACCAATGTATAGCAAAAAATATCAAGTAGTAACCAGCATTACCAGTTTGTTGTAAACATGTGGTAAACATATCGCTTGGCCCTTGGAAAAACAAATGGTGCAACAGTCCAAATGTGTAACTTTTTGTCCGAACAAGAATGTGAACCAATAACTGGCAATGCAAGCAAAATTCCAACGTAAAATACCTATGGCCTATGGAGGCAACAAACCTGTCCAGGACGATCCGTTACTCGGATGTCCAGTCCCCAAAGACTGTCGACCCTTCCCTGTGTTTCGTACGTACCAAGCCACTGAACCCTTCGTTGCCGACTGTCGACCCGTTGCCAACGGTCGACCCGGTCGACCTCACCGAGGGCGGCGATGTTTCGTCGACGATCGAATTCCGCCCGCGGAAAAGAAAGCCCACGGACGGCCACCTGGCCCGCGAACCATCCTTCCAAGTCGAACTTCATCACGGCCTGGCACCCGTCGACATCTCCCGCACGTGTGCCTCCTTCTCCCATGTCTGCACGGTAGGTTGGCAATGTCAACAGAAAGGATCAATGAACCTCCCCATGTTAATCAAGCCCAGCTCGAGCCCCTAATTATAGATTAATTTTGATCCCACATTTCCACATTCACATCTCCCCCTATTCATCAAGCCCATCTGCCCCGAGAAAATAGAAAAGTTCATTACTTTCATTAGTATAAAGGGTACAGTACCCCTCACACATTCCTCATGATTCACACAGAATCCCATCAACCATCATCCATCATCAGGTCATCACCTTGATGGGGGATCTGGTCTCCAATAATTACCTCCAATCTCAAACAAACATTGTTGACCTTGTTGACTTCAAAGGCCCTTTGATTGCTTCCCACGTCGACATTAGGTGTGTGATCTGACCCGGTTGGGCCCTACTGAGGAACATATCTAAACCAAACAACACCGCCTAGATCTTTGTTTGCACGGATTGTTTGTGTTTTTGTACATTGCATTCACTTGAAAAGCAAAAACACACATGGTATAGCCAGCCAATGGTGCACGCCTTACTGTCTGCAAGACATGAAACACTGGATGTTCCATCACCGACTCCGGCGACTCCCACCGCATCATTCAGCTCGCCAGAGACCACCTTCACCACACCTTGCCCGTCCGTGGGAGTCAGGCGTGAGCGGCTGCGAAGGTGCTGGTACCCAAGGGACTCTGACTGGTGACCTTACAAAAGCACGCACTTGTACCCAAGTTCCCATCTGCCGAGGTACTTGGAGGGTCCTGGTACAGGTCAGTTCCGGAGGAGTATTTTGGCTGGTCTGTCGGACGGGTGATCATGGTTCCCAAAGGCTGGAACATCTTCTACCGAACTCAAACAGAATGAACCTTCTCATCCAAACCTTGGTCACCCAACAGATGAACACACACCTGTTCATGCACCAAAATCTGTGTTCGCATCTGCATTCCCAAGGTCAAGAGATGGATACTTGGGTGGTGTACTGGTGAAGGAATGAGGAGAATCCTGAATGGCCTTAGGATGCTGTCGAAAGGGTTGTGCAAGGCGTCACATTCAAGCAACCGATGTTCACAGTTGGTAAGTATCTTGAGTCCACAGCAATTAGGACAATTCTCTGAGGCGTCGGAGGCCCACTTATCCTTAACGACTCCTGTTTCAAATCAAACAGTCAAATCTGGGGACAGGGCACCTTATAATGAGAAGTCAAATGCTGGAGGGACCTCCAATGCAGCTGGACAAATGGTTGCTCTCAGATACTCTTGCGATGATTACGTTCATGCGCGTTCACTAACACACCTCATTGCATTTTGAATTTCACGCGGCATCCCCGTCGGCTGACGGAACATGTATATAATACCCATCGGTCCATCGGTCTGATACCATCCTGGAACGGGTTCTTTTGCGCGTGTTCTTTTGCGAAGATCAACCATATACCTTACCATACTTGGGTGGGACCGTCCACCACCTACCAAAATAATAAAGAATTATGTTGAGGTGGGTACACCCACCTATGTTTTATTAATTCTGAAAGTCCGGACTGCCTAATATAATATTCCTTGATTTTCAAGGATCTTGTTAACATCATACAACTTGGCAAATGGGGGTGGGTGGTATTCCTGGGGATTTACCGGGAGATTCATAGAAAGCGTCAAGAGCAAGTCATTCCACACTCAACCACTAGCAAATTAATTTGCCAAGTTCTTTTTCTGCTGTCTTTCTGCTTTCTCATTGGCGGCCTACGTGAATCTGCATGAGAAGGACATAGAAGCAAAAACATCTCAAACACACAGCGTCAAGAATGCAAACGCATGGAAATAGTTGCATCTAATGTATATATACATAGATATTATCTTCCCTCAGTTTTATTTCAAGTCACCACAATATTATTTCTGAGGTGGTTGACTGCTGGCTCCACCACCCAACTAAAATCTGCCACATCTGGCACAAGCAAAAATATCAAACCATGCACCCTTCTCCAAAACTGAGACTCAAAATTACAATTTACCAATTATTTTGGGTCCTTTGACTCTCGACATGAACATTAATTTGACCCCCACCACCACTCCCTGTTTGAGCTAATATCCATGTGTAAAGTATTTTGAAACATATACTTCAGTACAGTACTGCCACCTATGAAATAGTTTTTTTTTTTTTTTAATGGCAAGGTATATGATCAACATGCAAAGCACCAGCAGGGCCAAAAACCTTGCCTTGGTCACATAGAAATTGCGGGAAAACGATGGAACACGTCCTCTGTCCAGGTGGGACGTCGAGTAGATCAACGACGAACAGCGCCGCTGTTAGGGCTCTCATAAGGACGACCAAAACGATCAACAAGGAGATCGCAAGGAGTTCGGCACGACATGGCTCACGACATGGCTAACCACAAACACACCCTTTTGGCATTGCGAGCCGGTTGTGGCAGAACAAGATTGGAAGTGGGATTCCCCCAAGACCTCACATTTGGCTCCAAAGAGGGCCATCAGACTAATGGATTTTTGAATGAAACGTCTCTTTTTCGTCGTGGCGCCAAGAAACTCAGTGAGCGCAAGACGAAAACATCGTTTGTGGCCCTCGTCAAGCCAGTGCACAACTGAATGTCACCAAGCGTAATCAGTCTTGATAATGATTCATGTGGCACAAACCTTTGGCTGAATATTGAATGTGCTTTTTGCTTTCATCGAAGAGCTGTTTACCAATCCTTTTCCAGGTGTGTTCTCCACAGCTGCCAGCTCTTTTAACAAATGCTTTTGAACATTGATTTTTAACATTGTCATACATTTTCTATCATGAACATTGTAATATTTGTTGGGTGGCAATCGCACGACTGCGGATATTACTCCTTTGCCAAGACCAACCGTCTGCGTAGGCAGCAGGTTCTAGAGTGGTTGAAACATTTAACATGCGTTTCCCTGTGGCGCTCCAGTTGTAGATGCGAACGGCTGTGAAATCGCACAATTGAAGCGCAAGCAAAATGCAAATACGCGAGAGATTGTCTACCCAAAATGAAGCGAGGGCCTCATCAAGGCCATGATGGGTCAGCAACGCTTTGATTGGGTTGTGGGTGATCACGCATTTTCTCGTATTGGATTTGTTGGGAAATTGTCAGGGTTACCCGACCTGGTAATTAATGATCCCAAAATATAGATTTGGGTCATGTGAGCGTCCAGTGATTCACTAGAGGGTCTGACCCATCTTTTTCGAGATACGTCTGGGAATTGAATGTATGGGATGCGATGGGATGCGATGGGATGCGATTGGTGTCTGCGATGGGTCCAATTCATCGGACCAGGTTTTGGGCCAACTTGAGGCCAGAGGGGGTGAACGAAAGCTAGCCGGGCTTCCGGTGGTCTGCTGCTGCTGCTGCTGCGGCGTTGGGTATGCTGCTGCTGCTGCTGCTCCTTTGTGGTTTGCTGCAGCTGCTTGGTGGTAGACTGCAGATGCTTGGTGTGCTGCAGCTGCTTGGTGGTCCCGCTCACCGCGCGCAGGGGGGAGTCGAACCGCGGGGGGGGGGGGGGTCCATAAGATTGATTTAATCAATTATTTGAGGTTTCTGAGGTGCGTCCACCCCGTCACTTAACTTGCTAAAGCAAGAGCAACTCCAGCTAGCTAAGGCTAGCTTTCGTGAAAAGACCGTCTGGGAAGGAACCTTTGCGTTCACCCTTGAGGCGGATCGAATGATAGCTCCATGAATGCCACGCCTCGAAACGTCACATCGGCAACTGTGATCAACTTTTCACACACTCCATCCGTCAACTCCTGGTGCCCGGAAAACTAATTCAAATCACGGATAGGTATTGCAGCTGCTTTAGGGATCAGGACCATAACTTACTCAATTTTTCTGGAGCCAATCAGTGTCGGTGTGCTGCTCTTGAGGGGTTTCAGGAAACCACACTGGCGACCAAAACATATCAAAACCCTGGGAAACTTGTTCGATGGTGTAGGCACATATATATTGTGTGTGCTTAAGCAACTCGGCCATGTGCCGGTCAAGTGCCTTTAATACTCAGAAAAAGAGAGACTCCCTCACTGATGCTGGAACCAAGCCACGGTGAGGGATGCCCAAGGCTTTGTAGAAGTCTTGTGCAGTTTCCAGCATCTCCGAGAGCCTCGGCTTGGGCGGGTGCCCTTTGTTTGGGGGTTGCTGGAAATGGTGAAGGGCATCGTGCTGAACAAGACATCTGAAGAGAAACGTGTCCAAAGATGGTGGTGGTGGTGGTGGTGGTGGTGGTGGTGGTGTGTGGTGGTGGTGGTCACAGGACCCTTCAGTTCGTGCCCGTCCGGGATCGAACCGAGGTCGTCCCGAGGTCACAACTGTCGACACTCCAAAGAGGTCCGAAGGTCCTGGTCCAATGTTTTCACCAACCATCCCGTTGGGCTCTCCACAGTCTGTGGGTTCACTGCCTGCCGCCCAAACCTGGATGAGCATCCCCTTCTACTGGATCGCTGACATTACCTTCCATCGATTTGGGTTTGGGTTGTGGCTCAAGTGAGCCCGGACTTCTGCAGCTGAACGACCTGACACAAGAAAACGACACGGACGCAGACCAAACGGACCCGGTCCATGTTTGTGGGAAACGCACATCTCAGTGGCCTCAGCGGCGGTCCTCACCCTGCAGAGCGTCCTGTGAGGACTTTAGAGCGTTTCTGTTGGGTGTGCCAGCTGTTGCGGTGCCAGGCACCTAAGCAGGACATGTGTATTTCCGCGAAGCGGCTGTGATGAGAGAATCCAGGTCTCGAAGCTGCTTCAAGGTCTAAAGTTCTCGAAGCTTCGGACGGCACAGGATGAGACGGTGTGATGCAGCGACGGCTTGCAAATGGCTCTTCCTCCCACCTTGCACCGCTTCCTGTTCCTGCATGTTCCTGCTTGGCGAAACCAACAAATGCTGACTGCCAGACTGTCAGCGCTTCGATGTTACCAAACACCGCGAAGTATATAAATTGATCCGGATGGGTCACTGCTGCTGACTGCTAGAAGCGAAAATAACGATCTGAATCTGGACGTTGCTTGGCTCTTGTCCTAGCGGCAGACTTTTGCTGCAGGTCTGCCCCTGACCCCGGGTGCCGTGTAGACATGACCAGGGTGACATACATGAGTGCAAAGAAAGACACATGCAGGGAACACCATGAAGGAGATGAGGAACAGGTGTTCCACAGGCTTCATGTAGCTCCACAGGCTCACCGGGTCTTTCTCTTCTGACCCAAAGAATACGGGCCCTAAAGATGGCCCGCCCTAAGAAATTTGATGAAATTTAAAGGGTTTGGTTCGGGTCCGGACCCCTTGCCATGGAGGGCCCCAAGGATTCTTAGGGTATACTCAAATCCAAAACTTTCCGACTCGGTGCGTTCGCTAGCTCGCTCGTCCGACTGGTCCATCGACCCGGTCCGGCTGGGTTTCCCTAGCATCTGCTGAGAGGTGCTGAGATCACCATCGGTGATGCAGAACTGCTCCACCTTTTCGAACCTTGGCAGCGTTCGGCGAGAGCAACGCGTAGCACGGAGCGGGGGGAACGATGACCGGTGATGACCGGTATACCTGGACCCTCCGGTGTTTCCTGGTGACAACTGGTGTCCGGAAACCAGCTGTTGGGTCCATTTGATCTCTGTTTTGAGAGGAAGTTGGACCCTATATTGGGTGGGTGGTCCAAAATAAAGGTCAGTGTGTCAGTGAGGTTCTAGGTATTATATATATATATTTTTATGTAAGGGCCCCCTAAGGAACATCTTCCAGTGTCCTTTGCCATCTGAAAGCCATTACCATTGAGAAATGCTTAGCGGTACCCTGGAGACGAGCCAAACCCAGTGCAAGGTTACATGTAAAAACAAAAACATTTGTGCTTTTGTAGACCTGCCGCCGCCTCCCGTCCAAGGGACCATCACCGGGTAATTCTAGAAGGGACATAGCTTAAGTCTTTTAGACCCATGGTCCATGGTGGATATTTGTTGCGTCTTTCAAAGGATCTCCCAATGATCTATTGGTCTGACCAAACGCCGAAAACAATGGCAAAAGGAGGGGAGCATCACTTAAGGCTTCATCTGCTTAGGTGAACTGATCTCTCTCTCTCTCTTTGTGCAATGGTTGGATCCTATGACGTTTTTCTCTGTGCATCCAAGAGACCCAATAATTATAGCTATATAAAGAATGATCTAAACGTTTAAGAGTTCCATCAATCTGCCTCCCGTCGCTGCTTCTTGGCATGGAGCTGATGCACCCGGAAGATGCCTCTGTTCTCTTTGCCTGCCTTGCCCAGCTCTGTCCTCGCAGGGATGACAGGCAGGAACATGTTTGAGGCCAGAAAGGTTACGATTCGACCAGGGTGAAGAACATCTACTCCAAGTCCAAGGTACTTTTCAGCTGACATCCCCTCCTCTCCCTGTCATTTGCGAGGGATTTGTTGCAAAATCCCGGTCCATAGAGGTGTGGAAACAAAACACATGTCGATTGAGTAGTCAGTGACATTGTATAATTATGTATAATCTATGCAGTGGGGGTGAAAAAATATGTGAAAACAAAAACTGATCCTTCAACTCAAGATCAAAACGGAACATACCAGGACCCACAAGGGGTGGTTTATAGCCTGCAACTGCCAAAAGAAAACAGGAAACAACATTGGTTTGATTTCCCTTGCGCGAATTCTCAGGGTGTTTCTTTCACAGTTTGGGACAATGCAACAAACAACATGTTTGGAATATATATGTTACGTCAAAACTCCAACAAACGTATCAAACAACTGGACAGAATTGCAACTGGACTCCTCGAAAAACCCGCTCTTTCGTGCTTAGTGACGAGTGTTTTGTCACTGCAGGTTCCAACTATATCAATCAGTATAGTCTAAGCCTCCTGGAAATAGTTGACCATGGAAGGACACATATGAATTTGGCAATGAATCAAAAAACCTTCCAAAAATCACGCATCTGTCCAGCCTCCTGTAAAGGAAAAACATGTTTCATTCATCTTTATCAAGGCCAGATCAGAAAGGCCTTGTCGTTCAGTTCCCTATGTGGGTCATTCCCCCAAGTCGTGCGCGAGTCCACCGCGGTCCGGAAGCAAGAGGAGAGGCCTGCATAGCGTCTGGGAAGTGTCTCCACATCCAGAAGCTCTTTCCTGGGAGCAATGGCTCCCCCACTCATGTGAACAGCCAAAGATGGCGAAACAACACATGCCTCCAATGGGAAGGGCTTGGTTCGGGGCTTTCAACCCCTGTGTTTCGGTGGAGAAGGTCGGGCCCGAACGGATTCTCAGGCGGATGGAAGAAGTCCAAGACCACCTCCCAGCACCACCCAGGGTGGTTTTTAGATCCTCCTTTTCAGATGTATTTTGCCATCCAATCACCACCACGTCTCCGATCGGTGGTGGTTGGATGTATCGTCTGCAGGTTTGGGACGTCGTTTTTTTCAGTATTTTTCGAGGTCGTCGGTCTACCACACACGCGACGAGCCGCGCGACAAAGCGACCGTCGAACCAAAAGCTGACCGAGCATGGAATGTCGAATTCGTGAGCGACACATCGGTGTAAAGGACTCAGATGGATCTCAACAAGACCAGTGAGGTCGTGGGAAGGGGGGCCCTGGAAGGACTCTCCTTTCCAATGCGCCTTCAACTGACCTGGTCTCTTCCCCAGACGGAAGCACCTCCAAACGTTCAACGAACAAAACCTACTTTATTTCGAAAGATCCCCACCATGGCATTTCAAACCATATCCACCGTGCAAAGGCCTTTTCGTCTACAACATTGCAAGCAAGTCTGTCTCATTGCCCGCGGCTTGCCACCTGGCAGATCACTTGAATTAGTAGTCAAATGTGGCCAGCAGTAGATTACCACATTTCCACCTGAATCAAACATCAAATGTGGCCAACAGTTATGGTGGGAAAAAAAGGTGCCAAAACATGTCAGGGTACCACCTGAATCAGTCATCAAATGTGGTGAGCGGTGATGGAGACAAACATGCAAAAACATGTCAGGTACCACCTGAATCAAACATCAAATGCAGCGAGCAGTAATGGAGACACACATGCCAAAACATGCCAGGGGCACCACCTGCCCGCACATGGTAACGCCAACATACTTTTTAAACAAACATGCCCGCACATGCCAGTGCCACCAGATTCAAAAGGATTTGCAAACAAACATGCCAGTGCCACCAGACCGACGTGGACAAAACTCATTGATCGATCAAAAAGCCTGGATACTCCAAAACAGCAAGTACATCTTCAACAACCACATCGATTCTGCCAGATGTGGCCACACATGCAAGTCCTCCACGGAATCCAGATTTCGTAACAAGATGAGACATCTTTGTAACTCGTCACAGATTGCCCGTCAGTTGGGAAACGCTCTTGAGGCCTATTTCGCGTATCATGTTCAAGGATGTGAAGTAGGGCCAAAGAAGCGGCAGCATTACCTGCGCCACAGCAGTAGCCAAGCTCCACCTGGAACTTGGCACACTTTCCATACGTGTTCCAAATCTTCTATGGACGTCGACCCACAACATAAAACAGTACTTCCAGCGCATAGCAGCGCCGATCTGCACAATGTACCAGGTTTGTATCTCTCTGAAAGCTCGTCCAGACAAACTTCAACCAGTCTTCGCCTTCGCACCATTCTGGCGCCCTGTGCCGGGACAAGGCCACAAAGTCAATTGTCACTGGATGACACCGTGAACAGATTGCGCTGACAACTCTCATGAAACCCTCTTCTGAGTATACGTGTTCGTATCTCGGATTTTTTTGTATGCTTGATGTGAGAGCAGCAATGTAGAAGACTGTGAAACTTTGGGCGGATTTTGAAGACCTTTCTGTTTGGCCAATCCTGCCGGGCCTTTTTTGCAGGCTGTTGATCAAAGAGCTAGAGCAATCTTCCGGCAAAAGTTGCCTATTCTGTAAACATGGTCCATGAGAATCTTGCAACTATATTGGAACTGTGCAAAGCAATAGGCGGTGTGTGCCCGAAGCTGACTTCCCTCAGTGGGGCTTTGTTCATAACACTCTTGAAGGAATGCAGCTGCCCAATAGATGAGGAACTTCGCCATAGCAGCTTTGTAGTGAGAAGAAAGTTCAGGGTAGCTTTGCCAAGAATCGCGGCCAAACCTTGAAGTATTGAAAGCGGAGCTAGTAGGGGGCGCACAACATCGCGGGTCCAAGCTTTCTACTGCCGCCATGCTTCTGACGACAATTTGTCGCTCAGCGGCTCCAAGGTGAGGTTGGGAACGGTGTCCTGACAGTGGTTTGTAATCAGGGAACTGTCACCAAACATGTCACCCTAAATAAGTCACACCCACATTTTCCAATCTAGGTTGTCGTCCGGTGAAGGCAGAGGACGAGGCGGACAAGACACAAAGCAGACCATATTGTGACATTCTAGCCGGACATAGATTCTGACGCCAACAAGCCGGTATAGTGCTCGCATGTGCTCGCCCTTGCTGTTGAGGTCCGGCAGTGCCCACTGCGATCTGGCACTTTGCAGTTGAGGTCCGGCAGTGCCCACTGCGATCTGGCACTTGCTGTCGAGGCCCGGTAGTGCCCACTGCGATCTGGCACTTGCTGTCGAGGCCCGGTAGTGCCCACTGCGATCTGGCGCTTGCTGTTGAGGTCCGGTAGTGCCCACTGCGATCTGGCGCTTGTTGTTTGCTGGCGAGGAGGAGGAGAAGAGCTTTGATAAAATCCAAAAACCCTCACCTGGCAGGTGGGGATGAAGTCTTACACAACTTGGACAAAACAAGCCCTGTAGTAAATACACAGAATAACCCAGCACCACCCAGTTCGGGTGGTTTATAGACCCCCTGAAGATGTATTGTCCATCCAATAACCACCCCGCACTATCCACCCGTATAAAGACGCCCAGGCGGCGCGTGGAGCGCACAAAGCGGCTGCTCGGAGGTGGCGATCAAATACTCGCGGCTTTGAGGTCGAGCACGAGGAATGAACCACAAGCATCAGGGTGTGCATGTGTTTAATATCATTGTATACCCTTCCAGTGCCCTTTCTAGCACTAGTTGAGTGATGTGTTTGCACTGGAATAGTTATATACATATACTGCAAAGGTGGAGGGTAGTGCCGGGTAGAGGTACACAATCACACGTAGCCAAAAGTAGAATGTCTGGTAGACTTGGGCGTTGAGTCAACGATGCTTGGTGCTACCCCAGCTACTAGGTGCCCTGCAAGGTCCTGTCCCCGGTCTGCTGATTGGCTGGGCATGCAGAAAAACATTGGCCCGACTTCGACAGTTGGGTAGCTGAAACACAGTTGAATGTACTCATCGGACCCTACCCACGCCCATAGTGGATGCTGGCTGATAAGTGATTCGTATATGATATGCCTAGCTTTGCCACAGGGACTAGATCTATTTTGTGTTCATTTCTTGGGTTCCTTCAAACATGGACCATCCCGATCCAAAAAACATGACTAAAACATGTTCATAGCTTGTGAAGTCCCTCTGAAGACAGAACGGTTGCCATGCAGCTGCATTAGCCATGAAAACATGTGGAGAAGTCATAGCTCCAGAAAAGACAGTGAGTCGAACCAGGCATGGGCAGCCCCCACATGATCAAGGTCTTTCCCACTTCTGGATGCTGCTCATCAGCTTCATTCGCTCGGATGTGCCCAGCGCCTTGTCTCCGTCGCCCGGACTATCTCCTCTGCAGTGGAACAACCCTATCCATCCGGAGGGTGCCTTTTCAGATATAATTTATCCATGCTTTGCTAGCACCTCTATTTATACACCGGATATAACAGGATATGATTCTGAATCATAACAACCATGACTCCATGACCATGGAGTGTATATAATTTCAGGTCTTGTGAATTTACATCTGCATATGTTGTCCTGCGCAAAGCCTCCAGACTCTACTCTAAGAGTGCCCCCTAAACCAACAGAAACTCGCCTAACTCTTAGCTTTATAAGTGATATCTGATATCGCTTAAAAAATAAAAAACAAGCATTGGCACTTCCTGGCTGTGCTACAATTACCTTATAACTTATAACATTTGGCATTGCACCGATTCGGCAGTTCAAGAACAGCTTGGCTGACTGAACGCATGTGATGTGAAGATGATTTAGGCACTGAAAGGCCGGAGGGGATGGGGCAAAAAGAAGAAGAAGGACCGCCTAAACTAAACTCTGCAGCTTGTTCAACACAGCTGGTTTTGGCATCTGGAACTCTTGTTGCTGCTATTTTTCAGTCAAGAACCTGCCGCATCCTGCCGCGTGCAGGTGCACGCAGGGGCCACACCTCTTCGGAGCCCGGTTGGGTGGTGCACGACCCAACTGGTTCATCCGACGAGCCCGAGCGCGAGCGAGAGCGATATATAGTGGCGAGGCACGATCTTCCCAGGTTCCACAATGTTGTTGCCAATCCTCTTGGGTCACTTGGGTGTATTCTAGGAAGATCTGGTGGGCAACTTGTCTGGCAAGTGCAAGGGCAACAACAAACAGCTGCAACAGAAGCAGTGCTGGACAGACCTCGAGATACCTAGAGAGTATAAGCAAGCTTGAGCTTCAGTGTCAGGGTTCTACATAGCCTCCTTGGGATTGGCCAGAAACCAGCATACTATAAAATGGCAAGGCATAACCTTCACAGAATCCATAAAGCTGCTGCCAGCAGCTTTACCCCAAAGATTTGCCAAGTCTCTTGGACCCTCATGGCTCATTTAAGCGATACATCTCTGAGCAGCACTGCTCACATATTGTTTACACAGCCAAAAATCAACGACCATCCTGGAAACAGTCAGTGTTTCTATGAAAATCAGAGAGTGCATCCCCCAAGTTAATACATAAAACGTGTTGTAGAGGCGGATGACCCCCCCATTTCATAGTGGATATTGGAACGGGGATGTCATATTCCATGCGTTTCCATGCGCATCCCGTCATTGCTCCTTTGCTGACCTTGTAAAGCTGGTCATTGAAATCGCTCAGCTGCGCCAAGTCCGCCATCAACTCTTTCCTGCGAGGAAACTCAGATTTTTTTTGCTACCCTAAGAATTGTAGGGCCCTCCATGGCAGGGGTCGGACCCCACACCTTTGCAGGGGTCCGGGCCCGAACGAAACCCTTCAACTTGGTTCGGGCCTGGATTCTGAACGGGTACAGATCTAGCAATTCCTGAGATCGAGTGGGAAACTGACACAACCCTAGATCTCAGGAATTCCTAGAACACCATTCTCAGGACAAACCTAGATCTCAGGACTGACCATCATTCTGAGTGGGAAACTGCACCACATCAGTGAACGAAACCTGAAACCTGACCTCCCAGCATCCATCGGCTTTGATGTTCGGTCGGCCCCCGACGGCGGCTTGATCCATGACGGTCCGTGGAACCTCCTAGCAACGAAGGCAGTGGACCACAGCAAAAGCAACGGTCAGTGAGTCGGTGATTTCAGTAGTTGGACGCCTTGAACTGGTGATGGGAATGAAGGTGTGAATCGGCGTGAAACCACAAAGAGAACCTACGAAGCGTCACCCACACAAAGATAGAGGCTTGGATGGAATTTCCAAGATAGAACCTCTTGCACTTCTGTTTGGCTTTGTTTCACATCCTCTATCCTCCTATATCCTCCTGCAGAATAACATGGACCCCCAAAACCACTGGGTTGGTCTTCGAAAAATGGTCTTCCACCACGGGTGAACTCTCAAAGTCTATGTGCTCCTCACATGGGCGGGTGATTGTGTTTCACGGTCTGAATCATGGCAACCTTTGGACTTGCAGTGTTGTAGTTGGCATCCGGCTTGTAGTTGGTCAGGGCCAAGCGTGGTTTCCTCTTGCCTTTAGAATCTACAGAAGTTCTACCTTGAAGCTCTTGCACTTGCCAAAGCCTTGCTTCACAGGCGTTAGAATAGGCAAACCCCGAAAAACAAACTGTAAGACTGTAAGAAGGAACATAGGCTACAACGCATTGGGCCAGGGTGTCTCCCTATCAAAAACAATAAGCAGCCACAATGTGATGATTCACTAGACAAAGGCATAATCTGGACAGGTGGTCAAGAACACAGGCGATTCGGAAGCTTGGAATGGACCTTGAACACAGGCGAATTATGGCAGGTTGGCTTTTCAGGATCTCCTCATCATATATGGTGGCTGGATGGCCTTGTAGCCACCTAGGTGGGCAAAAACATCATCGGATCCGTTCTTGGATGGACTTCGACCTCCAGCACAGTGTCTCCTATATCATACCTTACTGAGTGAATGATTTCCATAGGGCTTTAGTATGAATTCCAAGAACCATCTGCTACTGTCACAATCACATGATTCATTACCCTAGTCACGAAGAAACTGGTCCGGGTGGCCATTCCTTGTCCTTCAGAGGTTGTAAGCCCCAGAATGTCTACGTCATTCCTACGGCGACTTGCCAAACAAAAACGTCGAAGAAGGCTTTGAGTGGCCAACAGTTCCACAACCATCCCTGTACTTTGTCCTATCAGTCATGAGTTGCAACATAATCCTACTCCAAAACCCCGCGCCTGTGGTGAACCCAAGGGATGTTTTGAACAACCCGCAGAACATGTGCAAGTAGTGTCCACTGGCAGATCCATACAATACTGTTACGGTAAATTGTTATTCTGTCCTATGGGTCTGTGGATTTTCTTTCTGTAGAAAAAACATGGGATTTATCATGCATCTTAAAGCATCATGTCACACCGGCCGACCGGATTTCACCTTTCGCTCCAAGGGGCGCTGTCGGAGGAAGGCCAAACCAAAATTCAGTAGGGCTTGGTTCAGGAGGACGCCTCTGCGGAATGCTTGGTTCGTCGATTGAATGGAGATGCAACAAAAATCAGCAAGTTTCAGTGAAGTATCGCTGCTTTTGGAGCGATACGTGGAAGCCGCAGGTGGATTGCCTGAAGCTCCAAGTAAAATCATCCTTAGAACATATATGGCCTACATGAGAAGGTACTCTCAGGAGGCAGTTGCCCCATCTTGGGACTCGATCCTCAGTCGGCATTGCCCCGCCCTTCTGAGAGATCGATGTCCATCCGTGTTTCTATCTTTCTCCAAACCACCAGTCAGTTGTACGGTGGCGCATCTTGAGGGATGGTCCAAATTAGATGCCTAAATGCTGGGATTTGGGGTGAGTGATCCTCTCTAAGATGGTCTAGGTTTGGGCTTTATGCAGACTGGTCTGCCTCCTCTCATAAATGATAGGGTTCTTGGTGGTCAAAGAAGCAAATCCATGGAGTCATCCGGATCACATGGAAACCCTGCGGTGTCAAAGAATCTGTACGGCTTGCATATGCTTTCTTCTACCTTCAAGGGCGATAGTCTAGGTACCAGTACAAAGCTCGACGATTGTTAGTGTGTTAGTGTTAGATGTTTTTGTTGGTTTGATCAGCCCCTCATACTCTATGTATACCTAATACGACGATACGATCAGCCCTCCAACTAACTGCTGGTGTGGGGGTACCATGCGTTCGTCCCGCGTGTCTCCCTCCAGCGAGCCGAGCCCGCTGCGCGACGAGCTCCGAACGGTCCCACAAGGAAGACGGTGGACCCGACTGCTGCTTGGTACTGCTTGGGTACGAGACCCGATGTTGGGTCACCTGAAAAAGAAACACTATAAAGTACTTATGGTATATAATACTTAAATTAGTTGATGGGTACGCATGCGTTTATTTTTTGACAACCTTTTTAAATGCCATCTGGTTGGGTCGATCTTCCCGTGTCTGCAGTCGTACCTGTCTTTTTTGTATAGGTCATGGGTCGCGCCCAGGTACCCGGTACTTTTTTCAATCGAATTGGCTGCTCCACACGGACCGTGCGTGTTCTTTTTGGGAACCGGCAGTCTTCGGCCAGTCTGACCGGGGAAGGAAAATCCTTGGACACATGGCGAGGTATTGCAATTTGATTGAATTTGCTGATTTCTGCTGTAACTGTAGTGTTTCCCATGCGCTCTATTCACAACACGACCAGTTCCTCAAAAGCGGAATTTGAGACCCCAAACATCCCAAACCCCTACATATTGAGGGTCCACCGCCTGGGTAGATGGTCTTACCGTAGACTCCTGATGGTCTTACCACTCCACTCATCTCCACTCCCAAACTTTAATCTGTTGCAGGAAATCGATCAATGATGTCCTTCGGGGACTAATACATAGTTCGATCTGGTACCGTATCCATTGGTTGTTCACTTCGACATATTTATCCCCTCTATTGATCAACCAATAGTAAAAAGGGGTCATAAAATCGACTGAAATCCATCTTCAGGAGCATCTGCAGATTTCTACACAACTCAAAGAAAAGAACATCTGTGCCAAGAACATTTGAATGTCTTAGTGGCTGTCTTGTGCTGTGGCTGTGACAAAGTGTGCTATGAAGAGACAACAAGGATCAATGATGTACAAACAGCCTCCTCGAATGAACCATGTACTGTAGACAAAGAAACACAATTAAGACATCCACCCTCCTATAGGTTGTTTGCTTTTCCACAATTTATTTGTCCAACCTCGTCCTGTTTTGTGCAGCTCCAAGCTTGCCACCGAACTCCAGACTGGAGTCTTTGGACTCGAAGTTTCGGCCACATCCCAGTAACTGAACCCACAAACAAAGCCAAGACAAACAGCGGTTGCCTTTATAAACGAAGGCCAACTTAACCATCTCAACCACACCATAACACATCATGTAACACCTTTGTTGAGGACCGTCCTTCGTCCGGCTCACCTGAGCTTTTGAGCTGGGATCTGGCGAACTAGATCGAACTGAAGGAAGAATTGGCCTTGAGACGCGGAGAGAAAAAGGTGCCACACCGCGGAGGCGACTGCGGAGTTGTTGCTCAGAGTGACTCCCCAAAGTTGCTCAGTTCTGTCGAAGTCGTCCGTGAAAAAGCTTCTTCATGAGACCTGAAGCTGCCGCCCGCGTCTTCCGCGAAGCTGTTCGTCTGGGTCGTCTGAAGCCGTCAGTCGCGGGGTGTCCACTCCCACACTTGACAGATCTTGCGCTGTTCACGGGAGTTGAATCTCCGTATCCTGGTGGAGTGTCAGATCCCAATCAGGCAGTCATTGATGTCCTTGTCCCTCCTGGAGGCCAAATATATGGACACGATGGGACTCAAATGTGAGGCCTGTACGAAGCACACAGCAGGGTGTGAACTTCTTTTTGCCACCTTGGGCGAACCTTTCAACACATCTGTTGCTCAGGGGTCCAAACTAAACACATTCCAAGCCTGTACAGAAATTGCTGATCCTGAGACCCTCATGCACATCTTTTCCCCAAGCCTTCAAAGTGCTTCCAAGCGTTCTCCCATTTATTATGGGTACCTGAAGTCGGGTCCGGGTCCGGGTCCAGGTCATAAAAAAATCCTGAAAGTGTCCGCACGACCGCTCCAAACACCTTCAGTCTTGCCACCTTCACTACCACCTTCCCGCGGAAGGCTTTGGTCTTCGTCTTCTGCGTGTTGTGCCCGCCGCCCTCCTCCAGCGTCTCCAGGGCCTTCGGTGCTTCCGCAAAGCCTCGGCCGGGACGGACGGGTCGCTTTACGTCCCAGCAAGCAACAGCAATGTGCCCGTCAGACGAGTCAGGCTGGCTTTTTCGTGGTGCAGGGTATTCAAAAGGGTTGGTGGAAAGGATTTAAGGACATGGGAACCTATAGCTACATGCCAATGCTGTGCCTTGATTCGTGGTGTTTGGTGTCATGGACAAAGTTGTTGTTGTGTGTTTAAAAAAATTAGGAAATTATATGTGGTGTGTTTATTTGAAGGTGTAAAGGATTCCATTCCTGCAGGTCCTACTCAACTAGTTCTTGCTGTTCGTGTCTTCTGGGGCACTGTGCAAAACAGCTGTAGCAAATAAGTTGTCTGTTGATGGGGAAGCCAGTGCGTACTGTAAATCGTCTTTTGCCCTGTAGTATTTGCGACAAAGCACATATCAGAGTTAGTTATCTGTAGCCAAGCCCATAAAAACTCAAAGCATCGTAAACAAATCTACTAATGGGTATGTGGAACGGAACCTTCCACTTCCACCGGACTTCTGCAGAAAAGGTCCCCGACGAATCCTCTATTTGGCTTCGACTTTTCGAAGACTCTCCGTGCCGAGGGGCTATAAACCTCCGCGATCTCAGTGCGCAAAAGCTTCTGATCTACCTGGGTGGACGTCAGGCAGTGCATCTGAGGATGCCACTTAAAGGTGAGAAGTGCCAAAAATCTGAGGTCCTCAAGGAGGCCTTTCTTTGAAACACACCGCATGTGGCGGCTTGTCATCACCGCAAATCACCGGAAAACAAAATATAACAAAACAACAACAAAACACCCCATGTCATCGGCCCTAGCCTGTTTTCGTCGGGGTGGAGTCAAAGGATTGGTGGAAAGAGTTCAGCACCTGGTTCTTCAAAACTTTTGATCTCCTGGTTTGAGGGTCACTTAGACCTTGACATGGAGGTTGGGGGTGTCCCATTCCCGAAAGTCGCCTCCAACAACACCTGGTAAACACAAAGCACCACAACGCCTTGAAGGCCGTTCTCTTCTCTGACAGGTGGAACCCGATGCACTTGTTCCTAGTAGCTTCTTAGCTTCTTGTTACTAGTAGTATGGCCAGGAGCTACTAGTAGCTTCTTGCTCCTACCAGTAGTGGCGATGCCCTTTGTTTCCAAGCCACCCATTGACGGAGTCGGGTCAAGTCCACCTTCGCCTCGTTGGCGCGGAGCATGAAAGGCCCCACGAACCTGGCGAGACAGTCTGGTCAGTCTGGTGCGAGACAGAAGTCTCCCCAATCTAACGAAAAATGGCAACTGGTATCCGAACATGCAGTACTTGGTGTACAGTCCGAACCTCTTATTTTCCAACTCTGGTGGGCATCCGGTTTCCATCTTCCCGTCACCCTCACCAGGCAGACTGACTCAGCCGGCTGGCTTCGGGGCCAGTCCACAGGCGCTCATGACTTTGTAGCCACATAGTGCCGGCAAGCAGGAGCAGCACACAGCTGCGATCGCTCCTTGATTGGTGTGCTTTGCTTTGGAAAATGCCTAGCGTCGCGGAGTTGATTATGTTGATTGAACATCATTACTGCATGTATAGCCTGGTGTTTTAATAGGGGGACCCCCGGGACCCCAAAACCAATGGGTTTTGATCTACAGTATATCTATGTCCCTTTTCCCAGGTCGTCTCCCCTTAAAATACACACCCATACTCACACTAATATGTCCACTCACACGTCAAAATGACCTGCCCCGGCTCCCAACGCCAAAGCCGACCCGCCCTGCCCCGATGATCGGATCGAATCACAGCGGCAGCTGGTCAAACCCCTTCCGGTCGCCCACCACTGATCGCATGAATTGCCTTTACCGAACAACCATGTTTTGACCTATAGGTCAAAAATGGTCAAATTTTTAAGAAGTTTAATATGTGAATCGCGAAAACATGTCTCTTACAAGGAGTTGATCCTTGCTTCGCGCCGTTCTGCTTGGTGCACAGAACTTGTTTGTCTCCCCTTCAACCCGCCTTGAATCGGATTTGATGGTCTGACCCTCTTGAGCGAGTAATTCTGGGTGCCAATCGGTCGTGGACTCGAATGCGAACAACTCCGGTCACCGAGGGCTTGGATGAACGTGCAAATCGAAACACCAGCAAACAGCGGTAAGCAAATGGAAAAATCATGCGAACAACATCGAACAACCCAGTCGTCACCACGCGACCTGGTATGTTGGAAACTGACTTGTTTTTCGACCTAATCCCCTTAGCTGCCCCAATAAAGAGATCAAATAACACCAAAGGCGAAGTCAACCAGCGAATTCCACCGATCAA